ACTTGATCCTCTATTTTTTCTTTATTCTGTGTTGTGTGTGTGTTTTATTTTGATCTAGTTATATGGTGGTTTACATCCTGGTATGGCTTGGTTTATAAGTCATTTATGTAATCAATGATCATCAATTTTTCTTTTGCATGAGGGATATGGAAGTGAAAATTTTGATGTCTTCTTGACCCATAACTACAAGATTTTATAAACATTATTAGCACTGAATTATACACTACTTAATAATTTGATTTATATAGGCTTATGATCTTGGGGGATTTCATCCTGTACTGGTATATTATGGTCCTGGCTTTGAATTTTAATTTCAAATTTGACGCACTGATAATTTCTATAAGTATTCCAATCTCATTACGCTTTTTGAAACTTTTCCTTAGTCTTCTTTCTGTTATTTGTTCTTCCTTTGTTAGTATGTGGATTTATGTGGTTCACCTCTGGAAGTTGTTTTCAGCTAGTATCTAACCAATATTGGGAAGGCTGAGAACTAAACAACCTAGGATTTCAATCATGCTTGTTGTCTGCTGTTCTAACTTTGTATCTCTTCCTTCTGCGTGTAAATTATCTCAAGTTTCATAGCTGCTATATAAGTGAAAAAGTGCAAAACAGTGAGTTTACTGTTTGATGATTGTAGGTCGGACAACTAAGAGAAGTTTCTAACAAGGCGCACAATGCAGAACTAAAGTTGTTCTTGGAAGTAGAGCGTGGTCTGGTAAGCCATTCTTAGTATGATTTAATCCTGTAATACATTGCTTTCAGAAGAGGTGTTTGGGAGTGGTCGATGGGGTGTAGGAGGTTCTTTTCCATGCACTACGCTTATCCTGTATGATATTTCAGGATTTACGTCCTGTTCCTCCACCTGATAAATCAAAAGAAGACATTCTGCTTTTCTTCAAGCTTTATGACCCGGAGAAAGCAGAACTACGGTAACCTATAGATGCGCTCAATATATCTAAAATCATATAAACATGTTCTCTTTTAAAAATTCTTCTGATGTTAGAGTGTCTTTGATGTTTCCAGGTATGTTGGTAGACTTATGGTGAAAAGTTCTAGCAAGCCCCTAGAAGTTGTAGGAAAGCTAAATCAAATGGCTGGTTTTGATACTGATGAAGAAATAGAACTTTATGAGGTTTACTTCTGCTGGTTTTCTCACTTTTCTGTTTACATGCATTTCAGTCTAGCATTTTTTGTATAATTTTTATTTATTGACGTGTGATTTTCAGGAAATAAAGTTTGAACCTTGTGTGATGTGTGAACACCTGGATAAAAGGACGTCATTCCGGCTAAGTCAGGTATCTTTTGTTTATTGACTGCTGCTTTTTGTGAATTGTTGTCCAACTTAATAAGGAGATCTATTGTTTCATTTGCAGATTGAAGATGGGGACATTATCTGCTTTCAGAAATCTCCTCCACCTGAAAATGAAGTGGAATACCGATACCCAGACATTCCATCATTTTTGGAATATGTGCATAATCGTCAGGTTCAATTTGGTTAACCTTTCAATCATGACAGTTTATAATAACCAATGTAGTCAAGTTCTTTTCAAATTTATTTTAGTTTATTCAATAACTAGGTTACCTCTTGTTGCCCCAAAAAGAAAAGAGAAGGTTGCATATATATACATGTATGTTTGTTTCTAATTTCTGTCCCATTTAAGCTATCTACAAACTTTTGAAGTTTATATATGAAAGAAGAAAACACAGGTTTCCTTCTCATGTGTGACTGTTATTTGAATTTCTTGTAGTGCGAACTATAACGATTTCTTGTATAATTTATGTCAGTGAATTAGTAGATGCAAATTAAAGATGTTGATCTTTTAGAATCAAAATGGAAATTCATTAAAGGAACCAAACATACAGCCAAAAGGCAAGATCTAAGATGTCAGGTAAATCAGCTTTATCACAAATATGGTGACCCTTAAACAAACAACAAAAGTTCCCAAGTCAATTGTCCTGTTTACACCTGTGAGGGGATGCTCTTTTGTTTCTCTCGTTTCCAGATGTCCAAAAAAGTAGCTAAAGAGATGAGATAAAAAACTGTCTTTTTGACTTGGCCACAGGAGACTACTCCGATCCCACAGTTCATCCTTCAATGACCCACTGACGGCCAAAGCAAGTTATAAGAAATTTATATATGTTGGTAGCTTGTCTGTGTAATTGATAAGTTATTTATTCATTAATTATCTAAAAGAGGCTTTAGTACAGATGTATGCCTGCTTTAAATTGGAGACTTTTCATTACTAGGAGAACTATGATGGTCTTCTTTTTGGGTTCAAATGGGTGTTCTACTTCAATACCTTGAAGTCCAAAAGT